CTGTGAGTTTCATGTGTTGATGTCGTCCCTCCTGCAGAGAGGCAGCCTGACCATCCTGCTGTGTGGAGAGAACAGCTTGGTTGCAGCTCTGGAGCAGTTCTTCCATCATGGCTTCAAGTCCGCCCGGCTCTTTCAGAAGACTGTGTTCATCTGGGACTTTGTAGGTGAGTGTGGAGCTGTAGCGCCCTCTGCTGCTGATCAGAAGGACCGTGTCATTTGGCCCATTTGAGGTGATTTATTGGAAGATGACGGGTCATACTGTTAGTAAACTAAAGAATTTAATACTGTTTTATCCATGTGTTGTACCTTAGTTTCTGCTTGTAGAGTGCCATTGTTGTACTTTTTTTGTCACATGTATCTTTGCTGAAACTAGATTTGTGTCACAGTTTTCAGAAAAGATGTGAGTAAAAAGGTTAAAGTAAAAAGTGGAAGTATCACTGATGTTTTTTTTATCAGAAGAATATTCCTGTGGCGATGGACAAACCCCCTTCCCTCTGTCCCTCCTCTCTACAGAGAGGGCTGTTGCCTACATGGAGTCAGCTGACCAGATGGGAGACCTTCAAGAGACCGCCGAGCCCCTGGGGATGACCTGTCAGTCACTCTGTCACTATGTCAACGCCATCAACTCCACCCCCAGGAACATTGGCAAGGATGGGAAGTTCCAGCTGCTGGTCTGTCTCGGAGCCAGGTCAGTGTCAGCACAGCGGATGAGTCTGTCCACCGCTTGGAGACCTGTTCTGATTCTGTATCGGATGTCACTGCCAGTCAGATTGACAAATTAGAGATTGTGCTTGTCAAACAAGGGCAGAAATGAAAGAAAGTAGGAAAGAAGTGAACAGGCTCCCTCATCAGTGACCCACTCAGAGCGCTTCATCTGACTTCCTCTGTTGCTCAGGACTGTTTATCATCATTTTAAGTTCCTCTTTTTAGTTTAACAATAGATTAATGATGAAAACAATCTGTGGATTATTTAGTAGAAATAACTGTTAGTTGCAGCCTTGTTGTCAGATGTTATCGTTGCTGCTTCAAAGAGCCAAGAGATGACTGAGTGCTTCCCCCTTTTAGACTGCACAGTGTGCCGAGGACTGCCTCAAAAACATTGGATTTGGACTTCTGTAGTTTCATATGAACAGACCTCAAGAACCAATCCTGTCAGCTTGCAGGATGTGGCTTTCTCTGTCATCACTGTTCTTCAGAATCCGTTCTGGTTTAAACATCTGCGGCTAAATTACCCCAATATTGGACGTTACCATTGCGTAGTGTAAGTAGTATCTGACCAGAGTCGTAGGAGAGCTGGTGTGCTGAGCTGCAGTGACTGCAAACAGAGGCAGATCTGCACATTTTAAAATGCACAAATCTAGTGGGAAAATAATTATTGATGAATCATTAATCATTGATTGATTAATTTTGATACACAGAGATAGGTTTTTAGGGGTTGAAGTCAGCCAGAGGAGCTGTGTTTAGCGTAAACGAGCTTTACTTACTTTCTTTTTGCCATCAGATGTTTTGTGAATCCAGTCATTGCTTTATAACTGTCAGTCTGTCTGTACTTAAACGTATGTCTACATGTATCTACAGTCTCTTTTACACTGCACATAGTTCACAAGTACTTGCTATTCATGCTGTATATAACATCACCGCACACATTTTCCTCCACAAACAAGTCCTGTTCACACATCACATGTCATAGTTTGCATCTATATGTAATGTACGTTTACTTATGTTCTGTTAGTTCCACCTTGTAGCTATTGGCTGACAGGAATTGTTGCATTGGGTTCAACGACTTGCTTTCGCACCGTTTGCTCTGCAGAGACCGCCTGCTGCCCCAGTGGCTCCCCCTGCTTGTGGAGTGCCCAGTGATCCTGCGGATGTTCGAGGAAACGGCCCTGCTCAGAGACCGCACCACTGTGAATGCCCTCATCGGAGTCCTGGAGACGTTGCACGACTTCCCTATCACCCTAGAAGCCTCCCTGGTCAAAGGCATCGACCTTTAGCAGTAGGAAGGACGAACCGGCTGCTCTGCGTTGTCTTCCAAAGCCCTCCTCACCACCGCCTCCATCTAGCTCACCCTGCTCTGCCCGCTTTCAGCCCACTGGCTGTGGAATGAGACACACGATGAGGGACAAGAAACTGAGGAGACATTTGGGAAGCAGAGCAGCCAGTTCCACAGCTCCACGAGAGAAGTCGGGGCTTTGCATCGACCACAAGTATTTTGATCCCAGCCCTGCTTCTGAAAGACTCCCTAATAAAGGACCAGACCAGAGATTCATCATGTTTCACTGCATTAACTATGAATCCTAAAAACTTTACAGCGACGTGTACAATTTTTGAACACATCATCAGGAACTAGCAGTAGTGCTTCCTACGTTCGAGGTAGTCTTTGTTTTCAACTCATTTCAGTGCAGCATGAAAGCGACTGTTATTCAGTACTTTAACTTCTCTGTTCTGCCAGTGGCTCTGGGCTCTGGGCTCTGGGCTCCGGGCTCTGGGCTCTGGGCTCCATGGCTGCTGGCTCCTCCTGAAGCCATAAGTCATAGATGTATTTTTAAAGGACTCAGTCATTTCCTAGAGCAGCAGGTCACCATGGTTTTAATCTGACCTTACTCACATGGGAGGCGACGTTGCATTTGTTGGGACTATTTAGTAGCAGTTTAATCCACATGTGGTGCCTGCTGAGTATTTCAGACTTAGAGTAAACTACAGCATGTGCTCATGGTGAGAAAGGAAACTGAAGACAGCACTGAGGCTCTGTGGCACAGAGGGATACAATTCATCAAATGCTTCAGAGTCCTTCACTGTTGGTTTGGGTCTGTATGTCACTTTAAAACACACCATCCCAACAGTAATGTTAATATGAATAACAGCAAGGTCGTGTTCCTGCCTGATGATTTTCATTTTGTCCTGAAATGAAGTGAAATCGCGGCTGCCTCTAAGTAAGAAAATCCGTGTGAACATTTAAAGCATGCTTTGGGAAGTTTCCAACAGTAAAACCTGCAGAACGATGGTACACTGGACGGGAGACTTTAAAGTTGTAGCAGCAGCCGGCAATTTACTGTGAGCTAGCTGCATGTAGCCTAGCCTTCCCTCAGTAGGTACTAGATCCTTTCTCCTGCCTCGTCTGCAACTAGTAGTTATAGTACCAACAATCCCACACCCTAGCTAGCATTAGCATTAGCAAGCATGCCCTTGTGTGTGGAAAGAAGAGGCGACCTCAGGAAGAGACGGAACAACCACTGACACACTGGAACGAGGCCTGTGGATGGACGTGATGTTCAGTGCTGTGCAGTCAGCAGCTCTCCATGCCTCTTTTATGTTTTCTTTGCTGGACTTTTACTTGTTGGGCAATTTTTCCGCCTGTGGATGGACACAACAGCTGATCTTACTGATGTGGCTCAGAGCGTAACCTGCTGTGGCTGCATGGACATTCCTACCAAATTACAGTGGCTGGTTTAGGGGGTGTGTGTGTCATACTTCGTGGATGTTTGTGGTTCAGTGTGTGTGTGTGTGTGTGTGTGTTTCGCCTCCATTTAGTTTTAGATCTTCCAATTTTAATTTTTCAAAGTGGTCTACTGATGTGTCCTGTATGTGTACCTGTCCAACTATCTTTGTGAGAACATGTTTGTGTTTCAGAGTGAAGACACTGTGGTCACACTTGGACTCCCCTTCAAAGGGATGTTTGAGGGTTAAGACTTCGTTTTAGGGTTGAGATTAGAATTAGGCTCAGGTTGGAGTTGTAATAAGGACACGTTGTTGTGGGTAGGGTGCTAGGGAAAGAGTGCATGCATGTCCTCACAAAGATAGCGGTCCAAACCTGTGTCTGTGTGATTTGCGTGTGCCTCACTCATGTATTTATGATTTGTGAACAGTTTGCCAATGTCATCATTTAACAGCTAAAACTTGACAAAGCATAATCTAAACTCAAGGTCCATTTCAGCTGCGCCTCGTGGTCTTCATCCTGGGACTGAGTTGTCTCATTCTCACTCATGGAGTCGACTCAGCTGCCATCAAATCACTGAAATATGAGGAACTCGGTGGTGGAACACTTTTGCCAGCGATTGGACCTTGACAACTATTGAACGTTTTGACAAGACAGCAATAATGTTCCTTCCTCTCCATGCAGTGAACACTGGAGCAGAAATGCGAGCTCTAATTTCGGTATCATCCTACATCATTTATTTTTTCTAGAAGATGTGACCTGGAATTCTGCAGGTCTTAGATTCTGAACAACGAGGTCTAGATTCACAGAGTGATGTGAAATGTCCCTTTAGGTTTATGCTCATAGGAACAAGAGCTCCACGACATGACATTGGCATAAACAAGACTTCTCTGCTATATGCAACAGTACAGGACACCTAACGATTGATTTTTAATATTGTTTTAGAAGGAATTGTTCGATATCGTGCTAACAGACTGATCAATGCCACCTCTGTGTGTTAAACGTGGAACTGGAGTTAGTCTAGCTTAGCACAAAGAGAAAAGCTAACCTGCATCTGTCCAAAAAGCAGTTTTATGTCCATCTGTCCATGCAACTTCTGTGCAGCATCACAGCTGGTCATGAAGGTTGCTATGTACAGTCTGTGAGCGCAGGTTTGGGTTTTGCTCCATCGGCCTCTCTGTGACAACAAGACTCCTGGAGGTCGTTCTAACAGTGGCTAGCGAAGTAGTTCTTGTGTTTCTTAGTAAAATCAGAAACGGTTTCTGTTACGTTTCTGTTAAAAACAAAACACATTTAGCAAATAATGGAGCTTTATAATATTGTCTGTGTATGCATAGACCCGGGCCAGCTATCCCCCTGTGCTTCCAGTATTTATGCTAAGCTAAGCTAAGCTAACGATTTTGAGCTCCAGCTCTGTCTTAAACACACAGACATGGAACTGATCCTTTTTCCCATCTCTCAGAAAGAATGTAAATAAATAAATTTCCCAAAACATTAGACTTAGTTTGTTAGATCTGCTCAATGCATTTATACCAACATCTATTTGTTAATACTTTGAGCCCTCCTGAACCCGCTGAAGTACAGACACAAGTCTTCAAACAGATCATAAAGTTTCAGTTGTTAAAATAAGGTCAGTCATTTACATAGGCAGCAGGGCATTGTAGATTTTAGCCAACTTTACTACAAAATTAGATTCTCCTAAAACCCTTTAAAGACGTTTTTTGTAACCCTCAGACTCAGGCATAGAATGGATGCATCTGACAGAACTTTTCCTACAGGACATAAATGCAGCATAAAGGACAGAACAGGGTCTTGCTAATGAAAGGCTAGAATTGTGCCCCAGTCTCTTCCAAACACACACACTGTATATTTTTCTGCAGCAGCCTACAGAGATGTGTGAAACTATTTTTCTTGGAAACTGTTTTGTTTCCTCTTGAACATTGACTGCATGAGAGATTTTTGCTACTATTGCAACTTACTGCCATTGAGACTAATGCTTTCTGATGTACATATTGTGATTAGTGCATGCTGACAGAGGTCCGTCATGTGACCCTCTAAGGAATTCTAGATGGGAGTGGAGGTGTTTTTGTTTTGGAGGACAATAAGCAAACACTTGCTTCCTGTATTGTAGTATTACTTCTGATCCCAGTATTGAGTCTGTGACGGACACATAGTCTGTCACGATTTGCTTTGAATGTTTTGATTTCATGTATTTATTAATTTAGTATTACCTGGTGGCTGACTGACAGCAGCGCTGGTGTTTTAAGGTTGGAAAAGCCTGTGGACAAACTGGAAACATACCTGTCTTTGAAGCAGTAACCACTGGTCCCGCCTCCTGTGTTTTTAACCCCTGATGCCTCACCTGCAGGACTATCCACAGCTCCAAAGCACAGTAACGCATACCTCCATGTGGTCCTGGATTTGTTTGTGTACAAACTGTTTACTGATGGCTACAGGGCAGATTTCTGGAGCAGGACATGCACCTTGGATGATATTCCACCCCAGACTAACGCACACGATGCTCACGGGGCAGATCTGTTATGTGAACGTGCAGCGAGTGCTGTGAACCCTGACTACTGACAGCCATCACAGCGGCAGCACTGCGAGACAAATAGATTTGTGTCGTTGTTGAACTGACTGCTCTGTTCTATTTATTATGCCTATTTCAATAAAACACCCAGTGTGTTAATGATGTCTGGTGTCTTTGTGTGTCCATAAACTACAGTTTATAAGTGCTGACTGTATCAAAGTACTCAAACACTCTGTACAAACACTCCATTACAAGTAACAAACACACAAAAGCCTGCATTGAAAATGTTCCTCAAAGTATTAAGTCCATGCAGCAGTTCTGTACATCATTATTACTTATACATCCATATAAAAGCAGCCTTTTGGTGTAGTCAGTAGTTACTGTAGTCCTATGACAAGATTACTGCAACCTTTGTTTCCTGTTGGTGATGAAAACATAAAGTCATGAACTTGGATGATTTTCAGTAACACATGGTGACTAGTTTGTGCTCACTCTCTAAAACTCATCGTAAGTGGAATCCCTCATGTTGATATGTTTGGATTATATAATCCTCCAAAAGACAGCATCGCAAAAAATACATTTTAAAAAAACGTATCAATAAATTATATTACAAATATTTAATGTAATTTAAAAAAAAATGTTGTACAGTTTAGCTAAAAGCTCAGAAAAGCTACTATAGTTTGCGGGCATTGAGTCCAAAACGTCAAAGCAAAGGAAATATAATAAAATTACAATAAAATGACGATAACATGAACAGATGATCTGTTCCTCCTCCTGCAGCTTCCATTTCCAGCAACGCTCCATGGCAACCAGCGAAACCTCCTTTTCCCGCGTAAATACCACTCCTTAAATGGGCATGGCGCTGTGCTACGCAGGCTGACGTCACAGTTGTATGTAAATCACGCCGATTGAAGAAAATCAGAAAATGGTGGCACGGGAGTCGCGCAGCGCGCCTGCGTGAACGTTCCTACTACGGCCACACTGGCGGTATCAAGCTCCCCAGAGACAGGCCGCGGCAGACAGGAAATGGAATGATTCTGCCTTCAGAATAAAAGCATCTCTTTAAAAATGAACGTGTACCGGATTTAATCTGAAACTGTCAAGCGGAAATTACGTATACCAATGCCGGACATTGACGCTCCGGTTAGAACGTTGGAACTGTGGCTCCGCATTGTTAAACGCTAAATGAGAGCCGCTCCAATAAAGCGCAGTTTGAACGCGTGTGACACCAGCGTGAGTCGCGCGGCCTCTCACCTGGAAACAAGGTAAGTGTGTTTTCTCACTTTGTGGGCGTAACGTCGGTGTTTCAGGCGGCTCGGTGTGTGTTGGTAAAGTTAGCAGAGGATGGAGCTCCTCGTTCCTCAGACGTGACTTCAAACAGCCTCCGGAGACGCTTCAGCAAAACGTTTCACACCAAGCCGCGGTTCCGGCAACACGGAGCTGGAGCGCAACACGTTGTGGGGCTTCTGTTCGGCTGCTGTTCGGCTGCTGTTCGGCTGCTGTTCGGTCATGTCGTGTGTTGTGGCTGTAACGTTGTCTGCTGCTCGGTTAGTTCAGGAAAACCTGCCCCACGTCCCGCTAACAGTCCGCCATGTGTGTGTCAACTTCACCGCGCTGTGCTGCGGCTCTCCGGCGGCTCCGCGCGCAGCTCCACCGGGTTTAACGCTCAGTAAGCTCGCTTCATGTGTTCAAAGTTTGGACCAATATTTGGGTTTTGAAGTGACGCGGGTCGCTGAGAGCTGCTGTGAGAGCTCAGCTCCACTTTGTTGTCGGTGGTGGGTGTGTTGGTGCGTCATCGCCCAGCCCCCTCAGCAGCACCACCACACCGGCCGGAGCGCTCCGCCTGGAGCCGCTGCTGCTGCTGCGAGCTCCGGGCAGAAGGAGTGAAACCTGGCCGTGTTGGAGGTGTGTCTGTGGTTGGCATTATCGGACACTGTGAGAGCTGCTCAGTTTTATAAACGGGTTTAAACAGCAACCGTGAAAGTTTCGTGCGTTTTCACGTCAGATCCATCGCTTGGTGTCCCGACACCGCGTGGTTCTGGTGAAAGATGGGTCTTTGGCGCACAGCCGCTGATGACTGTTTCTGCTTGAGACAACTCTCCAGATGCGTTCATAAGTTCAGACATAGTGGACTGACTTATTACAAGGAGAGTCTCGGAGCACAGTTCTGTCTGATGATGGACTCCACCACTGAGAGCAGAGGGCAGGCAGCTTTGTTACTCAGTCAGGTGTGTGTTTGTCCGTCTGCTGGTTTACCCGCAGACACACTGCAGCTCCACAGTCAGAGGCTGTGTTACATCTTTAAACTTACTGCACTTTCCTGTGCAACCCAGGTGTTGTTTCAGCCTCGAAGCTTTGCCTGCAGCAGCATCAGTCGGACCCCTGCCTCCATCCCCCTACCTCCACCCTCTTGCCTCCATCCCCCCTGCCTCCTGCTTCCACCCTCCTGCCTCCATCCCCCCTGCCTCCTGCTTCCACCCTCCTGCCTCCATCCCCCCTGCCTCCTGC